CTTGTACAGGCTTTTGTGTAACATAAATCCTCATTTCTCTGGAATATATGACCAGGAGCACAATTGCTCGTTTGTATGGTAGTTGCACGTTTAGTGTTTTAAGAAACTGCCAAATTTTCTTCCAGAGTTATGTATTTTTAATGGTTAATTTTTTTCCAGAACATTAAAGCAGTTGAAAGAATTAAAGCATTGGAAAGTGGGGAAGAGGATGGCTTAAGCTCAAGAGTTGGAGGTTGCTGTGAGCTAGGCTGATGTCATAGCACTCTACCTATAGTGACAGAATGAGACTCTGTTTCAAAACAAAAAAATTTGTAAATGAGTTGTATTATAATAAAATTCACAATGTTATTTTTACAAATTCATTATTTTTCTTTTTTTTTTTTTGAGACAATCTCATTTTGTCACCCTAGGTAGAGTGCTATGACACTGTAGTTCACAGCAGCTGCAAACTCTTAGGCTCAACCAATCCTCTTGCCTCAGCCTTCCAAGTAACTGTGACTACAGGCACCCACCACAACAGTTAGCTATTTTTAGAGACAAGGCCTCACTCTTGCTCAGGCTGGTCTTGAATTTGTGAGCTCAAGCAATCCACCTGCCTTAGCATCCCAGAGTGCTAGGATTATAGGCATGAGCCACCATACCCTGCCCAAGTTTAAATGTTTTATTTATATCAAACAGGAATTATTATAATTTTACGTTTCTAGCTTTAGAAGAAGCAAATTCTACTAAATCAGGAATCACATTTCTGAAATCTACTTCCAGGAAAAAAATAATTAAAAATGTATAAAGATGCATATATGAGCTGGGCACAGTAGCATATGCCTGTAATTCCAGCACTTTGAGAGGCCAGGGTGGGAGGACAGTTTGAGCTGGGAGTTTGAGACCAGCCTAGAACATAGTAAGACTCCATTTCTACAAAAAATTAAATAATAAGGTTCATATCTCTAATCTCAGCAATTTAGGAAACTGAGGCGGGAGGATCACTTGGGCCCATGAATTTGAGACCAGCCTAGACAACATAGCAAGACTCCTGGCCTACTAACTACTAGCTTCCCTTGAGAACTTACCAGACACTTATCCTCACAGGGGACAGCAAGTTGATCTCATTAAAAGGTGTTTCAGGCTCGGCGCCTGTGGCTCAAGCGGCTAAGGCGCCAGCCACATACACCTAAGGTGGCGGGTTCGAATCCCCAGCCCGGGCCCG